GCCTGGAACCAATACAATCTTGTGCGTACGCTTGTGTGTTGACTACAATATGTGTGTCTAATATGCAATTCATTAACACAAAATATTGCTCTTCTGCTTAGGAGCGCAAAAATATCCAGGGATGCGTCTGCATCGCACATGGATAAATTGCATCACATGTTCAACAGTGTTCAACACTCATACTCTGTTTCGATGCGTCTGAATATTTGTTTTTATTGATATGGATAGTGGATACGAACTTACCTCCATTATCGAAAAAAGTGTGGAAAATCATCACATATACTGTTGTTGTAATTTGGACTTGATTTGCACAAAACATGATTTTTCACTAGATGAAGAAGCGGATATTTGTGTGAGTTATATTTAATGTGCACAGACATTCTCGTTTCAGGAGAGGTCAATGTCATCAGCACCGCCCGGGAATAGTGCTGGTAAGCCATAATATGTAATAATTAGTGCTCGTTTTCCTCGAAGAAAATCTGTGCACATTAGTTATATTCAATTCATACCAGTTGTTCTACATAGAAAGAGATTAAATTTTGCTGAAGACATGTAAGAGATACCTCTCACTCAGTTCGAGTTATGCGCCATCATATGTCTGGGTCATTGGTGACCCATTAACAATACAAGCATAAGTTTTTTTTATATAGCCACAACGGTTCGTTTTGGACGTAGCTGCGCAACAGGTACACTCTGTGGTCACGTTTGACGTTTACTTTGCCCGGTTTTTATTCTTAACAACAACAACAAATCACTCACATTCTGTGTAGTTCGGTACACTGTACACTAGGGTGTTTTCGGTATTAAATAAACAGAAAATGGTAGTTTTAGTTTGATAGAGCAGAGAATTTGGAATCGATTTCATATATTTTTGTTCGGAATCAGTCCAAGATGCCACTTCCCACAAGCAAAACAAATGTTCGTCGAATTTTGAGGCTATATCACTATTCGCTGAAACTAATCTGATATTTTCCACTTTTTTCGATTCAATCTCACTATCAGAGATGAATTCTCAATGCAAACATTTATTTTCACGTAATTTTCATTGGAAAAAGTGGCCAAATAGTCGAAAATTCACACAAATTGTATTGCCTTTTTGACCGGTTCTTCAACCATAGAAAAAACACCGACAAACTCATTTTTTTTCACAAAAATTCATTCAATGGGTTTGAAATACGCGACAAATTAACTAAATCCACTAAAATATCCAATCGGACAAAACCAGGAAGGCCAAATTGCAGCAAAACCAAAACGTAAACAAAAACGAGGTGTCATTATGAAATTCGGGCTTAGTTTGATGTTTGACAAGACCAAAATACATCTGCGCGAATCACTGTGTGCGAATAGACTGTGATTCATTCGCACAAGTGCATTGGTAGCCCTTCAAAATGTCAAAGAAGCTCAGATTTCATGATGACAGCTCATTTTGTTTACGTTTTGGTTTTGCTGCAATTTGGCCTTCCTGGTTTTGTTCGATTGGATATTTTAGTGCATTTAGATAATTTATCGTCTATTTTAAACTCATTGAATGAATTTCTGTGAAATAAATGAGTTTGTCGGTGTTTTTTCTATGACTGAAGAACCGGTCAAAGAGGCAATACAATTTGTGTGAATTTTCGACTATTTGGCCACTTATTCCAATGAAAATTACGTGAAAATAAATGTTTGCATTGAGAATTCATCTCTGGTAGTGAGATTGAATCGAAAAAAGTGGAAAATATCAGATTAGTTTCAGCGAATAGTGATATAACCTCAAAATTCGACGAACATTTGTTTTGCTTGTGGGAAGTGGCATCTTGGACTGATTCCGAACAAAAATATATGAAATCGATTCCAAATTCTCTGCTCTATCAAACTAAAACTACCATTTTCTGTTTATTTAATACCGAAAACACCCTACTGTACACAGAAATTCCAGATGGCGCCAGCTATATTAAATCGCTAGTTGCGCAGCTACGGTTTTAGAACATGAATTAAACTAAAAATAAAGTATTCACGAGAAATAAGAAGAATGCGCGAGGTTTGAAAAATTTAATAACATCATCATAGAAAAAATGTAGCTTTAAAATGAAAATGAGTCACGGATGACCCTCAGCAACACAGCAGAAAGTTCTAGTATAGCAAAACAAGTATAAACCCAATGAATGTATAAGTAACAATATATAAAATTAAATTGGAAGTCTCTTAACTATTCACTTCATATGTGAATTCGGTTTGAATTACTAAATGAAGAAAGAGAAATAGTCAAAGGGTGAGCATAATGCATACCGGGCAACGCAGCCAACTTCACGTTGGTTACTACTGAAACCCATTGAAGTATGCTTGTGATTGAAAAACAAACAAACTAATGTTAACGAAATGAAAAAAAGTTCCAACAAAAATTGGAAAAAAATATTTCCTGAAAGAGTACCTTTTCTACTTATATTCAGCCAAATTTTAAAAAAAAATCGTTGGTTTTGTTTCGCTACAACAGTGTTCTAAAATGTATTCTTTTCAATAACTTCATACTTCCATTCTGATCAAAAAGCAAAGTTTTGTAGCGAAACAAAACCCACGATTTTTTTTAAATTTAGCTAAATGTAAGTAGAAAAGGTACTCTTTCAGGAAATATGTTTTCTAATTTTTTTTGAAACTACTTTTCATTTGGTTTTAGTTAACTTTAATTTGTTTATTTTTCAATCAGAAGCCTACGTCAATCGCAACGCAAAGTGACACAAGATTGTACCATTTTTCGCATACATACGTGTATAAACGCGACGATTAGATGCAGAAAATGGGACATGCTTGTGCCACTTTGCGTTACGACTGACTGTATTTGACCGGGCAACCGCTTTGACGTGGCGCTGTCAACAATTTTGCCCCATTTATTCACACTTTGGAAATAGTCGCCTTTATTTAGACTATGCAATTTTTTTGCCGCGGTCAATTCCAATTTCATATATTTTAACGCAAGTAGTGAGTGCATCACTAGCCCATATATTTCCATACATAATTTGGATTTAAAAAAGTGGGTTAGTGATGCACTCACTACTAACGCAGGAGCATTACATGCTGAACCAATGATGGAAGAAAGGAATGAAGAAAGAAACAAAGTTTAATGAACGATCTAGGGGTTAATAAACAAAAAAATAATTAACAATTACTACCGATTTTTATATTTGGGTAAAATTTTGTCAATATAAAACGTATGCGTTCAATAATGAACAACATTTTCAATACGACAAACACACAGCTGAACTGCAATACCGATCGGTGTTGACACATTGAAAAACATATAACATGTCTAATTAAAATAGATTACATCATATTTAAATAAATAATACAATTCAAAAAAAGACAATTCAATATTAAATCACAATATAAATATTATAATATAAAGTTGGCTTGATTATAACTCGTTGTAAATGTACGAATGCTTACGTACAGTAAATGCTTAAGTACAGAACTGCTAAGCTTAAGTGCATAAATGAAACTTAGCTTGACACATACTAAAATCCATGTTTATGCATAACCTCTCTTTTGTTGCAAGCATTTCATTTCTACTCAAGCGTTGCATTGTGTATTCATTATGTATTTAAGCTAAGCAGTTATGTACTTAAGCATTTGGCATTTGGAATTTCGTACATTTACAACGAGCTATAAAACAAGACAACTTTATACTAGATTTTTTATTGTTTTGAACTAAATTCTTACGATTTAATATTGAAATGTCTTTTTTTAATTGCAATATTTTTTTTTTCATTAAATAATTATGTAATCTATTTTAATTCAACATGTTATATGTTTTCAATGTGTCAACACCGATCGGTATTGCAGTTCAGCTTGTCTTCAGTCTGTCGTATTGAAAATATTGTCCATTATTGAACATATTTATGAAATTTCAAAATATTTACAATGACAATCCGCAGAGAATATGATCAATTTCAACGATTTTTCTCGATATTGCTCCATTTTGATAAATATGACCTTTTACTTAGATTTCAACTAAATTTTTTCAATAAAAGTCTACTTATAAACCCCTAGTGAACGATCAAATGGAAAAAATTCGATTTTTATTTGAATTTCGAAGTAAGAGGCAGAGAATAATATTTTTATCGAGCATTTTAAATATAAATCCGAAAAAACTTCAGTCAAAATAAGTATACTTGTCTTGATTCATGGCCCTTCATTAATTCATAATACTAAATTTTGTTAAAACGGTGAGTTTGAGTTAAAAATTGTTGCGATCTCAGGTATATGCGGTCAAAAAAGTGACCAAAGAAAGAGAAAAATCAAAAACTGATCGTCAATATTCGCAAGAATACTCAAAGCCGAATGCTTCAAAATGTGAATGAAATTTAAATTTGTTTTTGTTACTAGCAAAAGAAACGCACACAGAATGAAACGGAGCATTCTTGATTGCAATTTTAATTTACAATTGTTGCATTATGGATGAGCCATTAGGTTTGTTGACATCAAAAATACGCATACGAAATCTGTGATCTAATTAAAACGATGGCACTCCGCTGAGTCTCTTTCAATTTGTGTTTCGACAAAATATTGGCTAAAAATGGCAAGGACAAGCGATCGAAGAGAAGCGAGCGATTTGAAAAAAAGAGGGGTAAATTCCAACAGGAATGATTGAAAAGAGAGCAAGTATAATCGACAAGAGTAAAAATCAAGTTGTGTGTCGATTTGCAAATTGCATTGAATGTCTGTTGAATGACCTGTTTTCTTTCTTTTTTCATTGCATATTTGCATTCATTTCATTTATTCGAAATTGGTTTGTCGTTTTTTCTTTGTTTCCTATTGTCATGGTAGTTTTTTTACCATATTTCTATGCGCCGTTTGTGTCTTACGTCAAATTGGTTATGTGAATAACACACGAAAAAATCGAGTTATTCGTTGTCTGTGTCCCGCCAATTTTTTTTTTTGCTGGTATGGTTCGAAATCGAAAAAAATTATGCCGAAGGCACTGTCGACAATGGCAAATATGGGGAAAATGATTTTGTTATCGAATTTGATTAAATAATGCATCGATTGAAACTAGCTTGGCCACATCGGAACATATTCAATCAGCTCAGTAGCAGTCATACCGTTGAAAGCAATTTATCCGTTGCGAAAGTGTTGACGTTGTTGAAAGTGAGTTATTAAAACAAAAGTGCTTTAATTTTTTTTTCGTAAATATTCTCCAAGTTGTGAGCAAAGACTAAAGCGCACGAGAACGTGAGAACCAGGTGGAAATGGCTGAGTTTATAAAACCAATGTTGCCCGCAATGGATGATTGGTCCGATGATTCGATGCCCGATTCAACGCCAATGCGTGATTTCTATCGCGGAAAAGTGGTTCTATTGACGGGTGGAACAGGATTTCTAGGCCAAATCTATGTTGAAAAATTATTACGGTAAGTAGATAAACATTGATTGAAACAGTGATTTGTGACCTCGGATTGTTTGAATGTGCAACAATTCGGTTCTTTCTTTAAGATGTGAAGCAAAAATGGTGTACGTGTTGGTGCGATCAAAAAGGGGCAAATCCGGACCAGAACGTCTTCAAGAGTTATATTCGGGAGAATTGTTTGTGGTGCTGCAAAAAATTTACCCAGACTATGTGCAACGCGTTCGAGCGATCGAGGGAAATACACGTGAACTTAAAGTTGGTCTTACAGATGAAATACGCAATGAGCTCATCGAACATGTGAATATCATTTTACACGCTGCGGCTGATGTTCGTTTCGATAACACATTGAAAGAATTGAGTTTGGTAAATTTGCGTGGCACACGTGAACTACTCAAATTAGCTGAAGAATGCACACAATTGGACATGTTTGCATACATTTCAACGGCATTTTCACATTGCGAACGAATGTATATCGAAGAAAAATTCTACGAGCCACCGATGGATCCAGAGGAAATGATTGAAATTGCCGAACATTTTGAAGAACATCCAGATGACGAAACTAATTTGAACGTACTCACCGACAATTTCGTTCATCCATGGCCAAATACATACTCTTTTTCAAAGGTAAAATGAATTGCTGAATTTCTCCTTTGAAATTTATTTAAAGTTGTCGTTTTACGGCTTTCAATCTTATTTCTTTACTTGAAATTTGAAATGATGAACTCAATTTACAAAAATGAGAATAAATTTTGAGATAAATTATTTTAAAAAATTCATATTTGTTTGAAAAAAAATCCAATTTCTGTGGCTTTTTTTATATTTTGATTTGAATTTTCAAACATTTTGTTCACTTTTTAGGCTCTATCCGAAGAATTGATGCGACAATATGGCAAACGCATACCAATTGTCGTCATTCGACCATCCATCAGTAAGTTCAAATATGTGTTTTGTTTTGAAAATCAGAATTTTTAGCTAAAAAGTTTAACATTTTGGTTTAAAAAACCAGGATTTGGATCCGGTCAGATTATTATGTAAGTAAAACGCTTGCAGCAAGCATTTTTTTCAACGTGGTTTTAGGTTTGATTCCTATAATTTCAATTGCATGTAATATTTTTACCAAAAATTCCACTTACAAGAGACGAAATCAATTGCGTGCAATTATTTCATTCGCATGTAATGTTGGTCCACAAGGTAGGTCATAGAGTGTCAAAAATATTGGTTTTTCAAAGGACCACATAACATTTGAAAAATTTGATTATTTTGACACTCTATGACTTACCTTGTGGACCAAAATTACATGCGAATGAAATAATTGCACGCAATTGATTTCGTCTAATGCAAGTGGATTTTTCGGCAAAAGTACTTACATGCAATTGAAATTCTGGTGACAGTTGAGCTTGTAGTAGGCCCATGGCTCAATCTTCGAATTCTGGGAATCAAATCCAAAAACACTTTGAAAAAAAAATCTTTGCTGCAAACGTTCTACTTACATAGTCTTACCGGACCTGTTTTGTCTCAAAAATGAGACTTTTGAGTTTTTAAAACCAAATTTTCATCAAATTTAGAGAGGAATTTCTTGTGTTGGAGCTAAAAATCAGAAAATATGAGTCGTGTAATTGGTTGAAAATTGAGATCTCTTCAAATTTTGAGCAGCAAAATTTTGTTCTTTCAAAATTTAACTCTATAAAAAGATATTTCTATAAACTCTGAGTGTTTCCTCCATTTTGTTTGAAATTTTGGTTTCATTCTTAAATTTTGTTCTCTCTATAGTTATAAGTACTCATGAGGATCCAATACCGGCTTGGTGCAATGTAAGTATTTCTGACCATTTTGCACGTTAAAAACTCAAATACTAGAAATGCCCGTTAATTCCAGTGTTTTCTTCTAGAATATATACGGTTTGAATGGGATGTTAGTGGCATGTGGACTTGGATTCCTACGAATTATGGTGTTCGATCCGGATTTAAAGGGTGATGTGATTTGTGCTGATTTTGTGACCAATTCAACGCTTGCCGCAATTTGGGATCGATATAACGAATTGTGAGAGAAAAATACCGTTAAACGCAATTTGTTTACTTATTCCATAGGTAGTTAGCTAACAAGACGCACGTTTTGGACTTCCATCGAAAGAAATGGTGAATACACGTTGTATATATCCATCTCTTTTCCTCGTAAAAATTAAATCTAGTAACGTGCGTCTGGTTATGAAATTTCCATACAAAAATCCATTAAAAAGTTAACTTTTGCTCGGGAGGTACCTCAAAAAGCCACTTTTAGGAGTTTTTAGCTGAGAAAACACCTATTATTTTTGAGAAAAAATAACTTTTTACTAAGACACCAACACTGAAAAGTATATATTTGAGAAATTTTCTAAACAAAAGTCGATTTTTTTAGAGTTTAAATCGAATATGAGGCTAGAAATAGGTGAAAACATGTCTCGACTTGGTCATATAGGCACCCAAAATGTTCGTAAAGGATCATTCTATAAGTTCAAAGACAGCATAGGTAGAAATCGTTTGCTTTTATTTTCTCAAATCGAACCCCATAGTCGTGAATTGATAATTTTTGTCCGAAATTTCCCTTTTATATGTGAATTGATTGGCACCAAATTTCATCCAAATCGCATTCTGGCAAGCATCAAAATGTTTGTTTAGGTTCTGGCTACACGACACAAGTCTAAAACTGGACAAAAGTCCACCACCTGGGTGACTCGTAGAGCGAAAAATGTGAAAAATGCAAAAAAAAATTTCTGGTCATTTCACACTGTAACTGGCCCAGAATGCCTTTTCGAGGGCTGATGTCTTGATAAAAGTTATATATATTGACGAGCCAAACAAAACCTCATCATCAGTTTTTGCCAAAAATTGGCTGGAATAATAAAATCGGCCGAAATGTTGCGATCTAAATGACTTCCGAAAACACTGTCATGAAAATTTTGATATGGGGCTTGCCATGGGTTTTTATATGGTACCCATATGCCTTCTTTGCGCCAAACCTAATTTTTTGAGGTATATTTTTCGAAACTGCCCGGGCCTTTTGGATGAGGGACAACTCTTTTTTTTGGAGCAGTCTAGCTTTTACTTTAAACAAAAAACAACATTGATTCAAGGATTTAGAATGATGATTCAGAACCCTTTTTTCAGAAAACCATTGACACAGTCAATTGAAACCATCAAAAACTCAGAGATTGCAAATAGCGATCAAGAAAATTACGACATCAATTGTAATCAAATGATGGCAATGGAGTCAAAAATATACAATGTAACCGCAAAAGACGATGGTCCCACTTGGGGTAAGTTTGTGATAAAATTTCTTTTTAATTTCACATTAAAATGAGGCATTTTTTCAATCAAATGTCTTAGGTCACATAAGCAATACAATGCGAGACATGTTGATAATGTATCCAACAACACAATCAATATGGTGCCATTTGCCAAACACCACTCGCTATCGAATTATGGAATTCTTTTTGGTGATTTTCTATCATGCGATACCCGGTTTCCTCTACGATTTCGTGCTTAAATTCACGAAAAATCCACGAAGATTATTGCCGCTGTATAGGAAAACACATTTATTTATGGTACGTTTTAAAGTTTGGGATGTCTTATACCGATAATATAATTCATCGGCGATAAATTATTGATTATAAATCTTTTGTTCCAGATAAAACTACGGTTTTTCATGACACAAGAGTGGAAATTCAACAATGAAAATATGTACGCCGTTTATGAAAGGTCTGATTTTATTTTTAGCTCTAACATCATTGCTTAGTATTTCTTTGTTTGTTTAAAATAATTCGTTTTTACGAAGTGAAATTTTATTGATTGAATAATCATTTCCTCTGGAGATTTATTTTTAATATGACTTTTGTCGATGATTTCCCTTTCGTCCGCAGAATGTCGAAACATGATCAATTATATTTTCCGAGTGATGTTCGAAAATTCAACTGGGACTCGTATTGTTATAATTACAATTTAGGATTGCTGCGTTACATCGGCAAGGAGACTCTAGGTGATTTTGAACCAGCTCGACGCCGTATGAAAAAGTTCTATGTGGCTCATTTCTGTGTGCTCGTTATTTATTACTCATTACTCGCTCTATTTTACTTTTACCTGGGCCGTTTGCTGGGCATCAACAGTTTCATTAGCTCACAAATCGATCGAATTGAACCATTTTTTCATTGATTGTCAATGGACAATTATTGAAAATTTGGCAGTAAGCGGGTGTGTTTCACGAAATCATTTGTTTTTTTTTTTTTAAATCAGTAATGCTGATTCAGCATGGAAACTATCGGAAGAAAATTCAAAAGGCCAGATTTTTCGGATGGTATTGTTTAAGATTAATTTACTTTGCAAAGATGAAAATATTCAAAGTTCAATTGGAGATATATAAAAAAACACATTCAACAAGAAAAAATTCATAATAAAGAAAAATTTAAAAAAAAATCCTATTTAGTACACAAAAATTGAAAGTTCTGATTAAAGGCTTTGAAGTTGGACGAAATATGAGTGCAGGTTATATTTTTATCATTCAAATATATCTGCTGCTGGTTAGAAACCAATATATAAAAATAAAATTGCCCATTTTAGTCAAAGTTCGTAAAATATTCACTTAAACATATCACGTTTAAAGTGGATCAGTGACCAATAATTGTCTGTTTTTGTAGCATATTTGACTTTATCAATTCGGTACATAAACGCTACAATGCAGTTTAAAATTATCTCAAGTCTTCTTTACAAATATGCTGCCAGGTATTTTCTGTCAAAGTTATGATTACTTTTTTGAGTTGCTTCAATTTTGGCAGACTTTGTATAGTTTCAGTTGAAACATAGTTAACACTGAATGCCAATTCTTCTATTGGCATTACATGCTCAGCAAATAATTCAATAAGCTTGTCTGTAGGATCTGGATCATGTAAATGTAGGCACTAAGTGTTGCAATTGCATCATTGGCATACAATCAATGGAATACTCCCGTTCATCATATAGTTATACTATATAGTTGAGTTTGATTTGGAAATCCACCAAATTCGATGCAAAATTGCCAATGGCCGCATAAATATGACTTGGATCACGAAGTTCAGGTATCAATTTATCGCAATCATTAATCTTCAAACGTTGAAGTTGTGGAGTGAATGATAGAAATGTAATGAATTCGGTATCATTAAGGTTAACCTCATAATATTCTACGATTTCCAATTTTGGGAACTCTTGCCTTGGGTTCCATTCAAATCGATCATGTTCAAATTTGACACCGCTCAGCTTCAAGACTTTTAGCGTTGTATGTAGGTTCAGTTTAATTATTTTTTTTAATCGAAAAATGTAGAGAATGGATTAAATGCCCAAAGATATTCAGGAAACTTCGTGCACATTTTGTGTGCAATGTCTTCTGGTCCCAGTTGCAATCATTGTCGAACACAATCTCTTTGAAATGTCGCGGAAAACATTGTTTAGCATTCTCCTGGAAACGCGTGCACGTTTTGGCTGCACTGAAGAAATCCCGAATATTCGTCAATTTGCGCAGAATTATTTGGATGCAATCGTCGTTGAGTAGATTTAAAATATTTTTGGGTGAGTTATGTGATGGCACAACACTGATTTCTAATCGGCTTGTTTCCATGTTTCGAATGTTGATGAGTGACTGCTGGTTTCAAAGGCTACATTAATGAAACGAGTAAAAATCTTTTCAGTACGAAAATGGAATTAGTTCACAAAATCAGCATGCGAAAATTGAGTGGTAAATTCAGCCTTTCTGATCATGAAAATAGCAAACAATACAGTGCCGCCTGGGGACCAAGTGCAATGTTTCATACTTCCAACGTTTGAACTAACACAGACGCAGTAACACAGATGCATACTTGTTATAGCAAACTATATGTCTATTGACTAGATCGAGAGGAGAGTATGTGAAAAAATTCTAATATATTTTGAAAGAGGAGAGTATGATTTCTGTTGATTCTATCTGCGTTAAAAGGAAGTATGTTGGCATCCCGTCTAGCCTCCGCGGTTTTTCACGGTTTCCGCGAAACTGATAAAAGATAACAACATGGTGTCTTTGGCAAAGTTGTAGCACTTGAGGTTTTCTTTAACATTGCTGAAGACATCTATCTCTTATCTCTTATCAGTTGCGCGCAAATGGCGCACATAAAAAAGCAAATTTTATATAGAACTTTTTTTTTCTTATCATTTTTCGCGCTTTTCGCGGAACTGATAAGAGATAAGAGATAACTGACTTCAGCAATGTTATAGAAGACCTCGAGTGCTACAACTTTGCCGACGACACCAAGTTGTTATCTCTTATCAGTTCCGCGGAAACCGTGGAAAACCGCGAGGACCCGCCAACAATGAACATACTCGCCTTTAACCATTTTTGAGTCGAAAGAAACTTACTCTTCTCTTTCACAACAAAGTCAGATGAACTTACTCTCCTCTCGATCTAGTCAATAGATGTATGATTCTCTATTTTTCAAACCAGTCTCCAGGTGGCGCTTTATTTTTCTTGTTTGACGTTTCCCATCTGTTTATATAGATGATCAGAGAGGCTGGGTAAATTTACTAAAAGGAAATGTCAACAAACTAAGCTGAACGAATTGACAACAAATTACTGACTAACGCTAATTTCTGAATAATGAAATATATAGCTTCTACAATGGACGATAACAAGCGACGAAACAAGATAATCAAAAATATTCGGCATATGAGATGAATGATACGCATTTACAAGTGGACGACGCAACGTATTTCATAATATTTAAAAAATGATAATCATTTTATAGAATATTAGCGCCTTTGTCTTGCTTCGCCAAATATGAGCCACTGTACTGCCCATTATACCGTGCCAAGGATATGCACGTTGCTAGGGCCTACTTCGTGCACATCTGATATGATATAACAAATGACAAGCCTAAAAAAAGATGATGGATATATCAGAAAGATGCCATTTGGGAGTCCCGTGTGAAAAAAAAAATGACTGACTGGCTATAACTTCAGTTGACTTTAGTTGATTGAATTTATGTTTTTGTTCTAAGAAAATCACTTTGTCCCAAATAAAACAACTTAGATTGACTTGTAACTTCAAATGATTTCAGTTAACTATGAGAGACTTACACTACACTTTGTACTGAAATGTCAATCAAAGTAAGTCATTTTTGTCCCAAATTAGTTAATTGACTACTCAGTTTCTATTTTTTCACACGGGTTATTATAATAATAAATTACGAAATTAAATATATTTTAACTGATAATAAAATTGCGGTGAACGTATTTAATTTGTTAGAATTGAATGTTTTCAAAAACATTTTATGTTGCTTTTGACGACCCTATTTTAATAGAAAAATTGTTTTGATTCAACAAATGATACACTTTATTGAGTTACACTCAGATGTACATTTCGGAAGCAATGCTTCCATCCTCAGTGAGTTTGAAATATCAACTAGCGTTCACTCAAAAATTCATGTGACATAAAAAGCAATGGATATAAAATTGAAAAGTTATGAATTTGACTATGTTTCCAAAGGTTACCGAAATTATTTTAACTACAGAAAATGTTTAAATATTGGCTCTTTAATCGGCCCATCATCACCATTCAATAAATTGTCTCTATTTTTATGAATTAAAATTGCCTCATTTGCATCTAATTCGCTGTTTTTGTTTACGCTTCTTATTAACTTTAAACTATTTAAACTGATTGTATGGCCCGTTTCTAGTATATGTTGTGCTACGCTTGATTTTAAAGGCTCATTATTTTTTATATGATTACAATGTTCTTTGTATCTTTTCAAAATTGCTCTCTTACTTTGGCCAATATATTCTTTATTACAAACTTCACATTTAATGCTGTAAATACCCGATTTTTCGCAAAATTTAATTTTATCTTTAGATCCGCCAATTATACTTTTTAAATTTAAAGGATTATGTTCGGCCAATTTTATGTCATATTTGTGAAAAATTGATTTTAATTTACTTGAACATGATGGATTATATGAAAAACCCTTCCAAATTAAAACATTATTAGTGTCATCACGAATTAAATTTAGTGTTGTATGGTTTCGTAGCTCTTTTTTCCTTATATGTGACTTTAAAAGATCGTCAATCAACTGTTCAGTATATCCATTTACGTTAGCAATTTGTTTGATTCGTTGAATTTCTGTATTGAATCTCTCTTCCTTGAGTGGTACGTTCCTATTTTAATCTATTTCACGGGCGACTATTGCCGATGTCAGCTGAAAGATGTTACACTTCCGGATGGAATCAATAACAACCTACGATGAAAAACGATATTTTCGAGACTAACACCAATAATAACCAATATCACTAAAAAAGGAAAGAGAAATAATCGCCGTAATTTAGACTATCGAATTTTGAGCCGAGGTCCTAAGTATACCATTTTAAATATACTTTGATGCAAAAGTATCACATAGCATTTTGGAATTAATGAAGAAAGCGAGAAACAATATGCAAATTAAATGAATGCAGAAACGTCGAATTTTTATTTGCATCTCGAAGCAAAATACAGAAAATAAGATTTTATCGAGCATTTTGAATGAAAAACTAAACAAACTTGAGTCGTTCTTCAGAAAAAAGGTATACTTGCCTTGATTCTTGGTGCTTCATTTAATTGATAATACATAATACTAAAGGTTAAAAAAAATAGTAAGTTTGAGTTAAAAATTGATGTGATCGCAAGAAATCACTTTGTGTGTTCAAAAATGTTGTCAAATAAAGTGAAAAAACGACATTTGAACGATATTTAAAGAAGGACGCAAATAAGTGAATTCTCCCTTACAATATAAATGCGTAGTTCAATTCCTTCAGTAGCGACTTTCGCTGCTCTTTGGTTACTAGTTAAGAAATGCATACAAAAACTAAGCGGAACAGTCCTAATTAACAATTCTTGAGCCATTAGATTTGTTATCATCGAAAATGCGCAACGCACATACAAAAACTGTGATTTAATTTGAACTATGGCAGTGCCATAACATGATACTCCATTGAGTCTTCATTTTTAAATCAGCATCTAGAGAGCATTTGCTTTGGATGATACTGTTACTTAAGATGATCTCATGGATTAAATACTTCGCAAAATGAAAAATATTTCAAATTCAGCTGAAGATATCAAAAATTCACATTCAACGTGTAGGAAAAATCAAAATGAAGAAAAAGCCGTTCTGGAGTAAAACCTCTAGTAAAAACGGCTTTGAAACCACACCGAATGTGGGTGATTCTTCTTCTGCTTGTTTTGATATGCTTGCTGTTAAGTGTTTGTTTTAAAGAATAATTAATCAAAAGGTGAAAATGAAAATGCCCATTTTATTTGAAATTCGTAAAATAATCGACATTTATTTACTTAAACAATATAAACCTTTATTTTAATGATATTTTCCTTATCAAATACATAATTCTTATGATTTAGTATGAAAATGAAAGGGAAAATGTTTGTACATATTGAATTATTTCGGTCGCGTTTCATCCGTTTGATATATTACGCTTATTGAAGACTGAAGAGCAGTGACTAAATTTGTTCTGTTTTTGAAATGTTTCTAACGAAGCATTTTCGACATACAATCAATTCAGTCGAATGAAATGTACTGTTGTATGTACTCTTATGAACTGATTGAGTTTTTGTTTCAATTATTGAGACCAAAATTTAATAACAATTTAACAATTTTGTGATATCAATGATTCAGTTAAATAGCTTAACGAAAATGCAACTATTTTACAGGAATTTTGAGAGAAAATGTGTAAAAACGAATTTAAAAAATGTCATGAAAACGATCATTTCGTTCGATTTAACAGAATTTAATCAAAAAAAGTAAAAAAAGCAGATTCTTTGAACTTTTTGTCGGGATGACATTGATTGTCTACCGATTCGACTAAAAATAACATTTTATCTCAAAATTTTTTGTTGTATGATATTCATCAACTGCAAAATTTCGTTTCTTTGAGGTTTTAAAGAACAAGCTTTCTTCAAAATAAGAAAAATTCGAAAATTTCCTATAGCATGTTTCAGGCACTGCACACAAACCCGGTATAAATGATGGACTTTTCAGCAAAAAATGATATGTATGTATGATTTGAAGAAAACTGTATGTGATTTGAAGCCATATGGCTCAATAAGCAAGTATACACTACTCGATAATACTACGAAAGGTTAGAATATAGGAAGACCGTTTATTTTGAGCACGAAAGTGTTTCGATGACACGTTCAACAGTATCAAAATTGTAATAAAAGTAAAAAAAAAAGGGAAATGAAACGATTTGCCATCGAATCACATTCGTCAGCCAAAAGAAAAACATACCCGATACAATACTAAGAAAACTACACTTACAACTATCCAAATAGAAATTGTTATTTTGTTCGGGGGTTTATTGTTCGTTTCTGTTTCTGTTAATGTTTTAATTTAATTACATCATAGAGTAATTCATGAAAAATGCTTACAACTAAAATGTTTAAAACGAATTTCGCTCGGCAATGACGAAATGTGTGGAATCGACTGAGAGACACGCTGACAAGTTAACCAAAACGGGATTCTGAAGGTGGATTGTAGATTAGGAAGACACGTAGAGAGAATGTGGTGTGGTTTCGGGGGGAAAGAGGTAGGAAACAATCGTAAAATGGGACACACGCAGGTTTTAAGCTACCCGTGTGATAAATTTTCGCTTAGCTTGGTTACGCTTGTTGTGTTGAAGACTTCGTCTCATTCGATGCGGTTCATTGAAGTAGCCACCGCTGCCACCGCTGCCACCGCGATTGTGTTTCTTCTGCTGAGCATGCCGTTTTCGATGGTTACGACTATTTTCGTTACGACTACTTGTGGACACTAAATTTAAATCACTTTGATCGGCTGATGCTTGGTATTGATAGTCGGCCGGCATTAGCGGCGATTCATTCAACAGCCGAACGTTTTCCAAACGATTCATACGCGCACGATGGCCTCGATGGTTGTGAGAATGCGATTGCGCATGGATACGACTCCATCGGATGTCTAATCGCGGATTGCTGATAAGAGGAGAAAATGGGGAAAGAAGAAAAAAAAGAAGTAGAAAATCAAACAGAAAAAAAAACAAAATAAATTGCATTGTTAGTTAATGTTGATCAATTGAATTTGAAGTGAAATGAGTTGTACTTACAAGGGCAATATCTGGGTTCCAGATACAGTCCAAATGTTTTCTCCGAAGACGACCCAGGGAACTGCCGGAGCTATTTAAAAGAAGTAAAGCAAATTAAAAATCTCGGCATATCAATAGAATTTTGAACGGAAACGAAATCAAGCAAAAACCACATTCGCAAACACATCAAGCATATTCAAAGGAATATTGTGATTTTCCTCCCATTTGATAGGGAAAATCACTTGGGAAAAAAAGGAAAACAACTCAGAAGAGGAAACAGTAAAACATCTGAGCAAAGCTCAAGCTTATGAAAAAAAAAAATGGTTTAGAGCAGCAAAAACGGATAGTATGAAATCATCAGCAAACAATGTGCATTCAGGTATTTAAGACTCGTTTAATGGCAATATAGCTCAATAGTTGTTTTTTTAGATGGAACTCAATTAATTAACTATGATTTTATTACAATTTATTTAATATTAATTAGACGTGTGCAAGGTCAAAAATCCTAGATGGGGGCAGGGATTTTTTTTAGCCAGATGTGGATCAAAATTTTCAAAATTGGGGTCTAAAAAAAGTGAAGACCAAAAAAGGTCCTCACTCTCGAAAATCGATTCTATCTAGTGTAAAATAGTCAAAATTGCTAGATTAAGATCTTCTATTTTCAAATTCAAGATGGAAGATAAATCCGAAGAAAAAAACCTTTTTACACGTCTGATACTAATTAATTAACTCTTGAAAGAATCAGCCAGATTATTGCAAACATCAACAAACTCGGATTAAATGGTCAAACTTAAAATAATGTTAAATGTTGAAGGTGAAAATCATGCAGAAGAAAACAACACAATGGGGTCTGTTCCAAAATCAATTGAATCATTTTTTGTCGAAAAATTTCTTGAAACTTTTAGGATACGGCGGGTATGTATTCGAGGATTCCATGAATGAATTCAGTTTTGATTGATCTACGTGATGATGAAACATTAGATTGATTCAGTCTCGTACTAATTCAGTGCCTTTGCGAATTTTCAAAAAGCAATTTTTCTTAGAAGACTTAAGCTGATGATGCGAAGAAATTGCCTGAAATTCGGTTCAGACACTGTTGAGAGACAGAGAGTGAGAGAGACTCGGGCGAAAGAAAAGAAAATGGTTGTGTTGCGACACAGTCGAGAGAGATTGAAACAAATAAAATGAAATTAATTGTTAGTACAAAAAGCGTTCCGGAAAACCACACACTTACATGCCTGACAATCGGTTGGTTCGAAGAACAATCCAGCCTTGAGCGGTTGCTGATATTCATCTTCCACATCAATGGCAACCATTGGATCGGCCACTGTCGCACCTTTGTTATGAATCAAACTGGCACGATACATTTTCTCCCAGTATTTGATCACTTGACGCACATCGATCTCCACCCATTCACTATTCACCCGGTTCAACGTCAAACTGTGGCACACCAACTTTTTCAATACGGGCTTCGGATCTAAATCATCAAAAAAGAGCATTCACATCAATTTGGTTTATTGAAATCGCATCTTTTTGCACAACGATTTTTAAAATTTGTAAATTAGTCAATCAAATAAATTTCAATTGTGGCAATTTTCATGAGGTAAATAAAAGCAATTGGTTAAAATGTGTGCGCAAAACAATATTCCATTTGGTCTTTAGTGAAAAGCGCCAATTGATTTGAATTCCGGGTGGGGGTTATTTGGTTTTTTTTTTGTATGTGTGTGACAACATTCAAATCATTGAGTGATCAATCAACTATTTACCTCGTCGATTACTACCGTAATTTGCACTATTAACAACTCTATTATTACCTCCACGATGCGTATGCTTTACGAATATCGATACTTTGACATGAATGATATCGTCTACGTCAGAACAACCATTTTGCAGATCAGGCTCACTGCTCACATTTGCATCGGTCACAGCAGCATTGTCGGGGATCTTTTGACGAAGCCTAGCGGTGTGTAGTTGTTTTGAAGAAGAGAAACAAAAATGAAATTGAATGTATCTGTGGGATTGTTTTGGTCGCATTTTGAGGGTTTTAATGATGTAATCCAAACAATGGAGCCATGTTTTAATCAATTAAATTAAACAAATGCCATAGAAAAAAATTTGATTTAGTTGATAAAAGCAGAATTAAAATTTGATCATACCGTAAAACAGCTCGATGTAGGTATGTGTTTGGGATCAATTTATCGAAAATGCTCGAGGAAAAGTACAATTTTGCCGTATTTTCTTCAAGCCATGATGTCTGGTTATTTTTGCTACCTGCAATCAGAATGCAAATATAGGAGAAATTCATAATTTTTATTGATTTTTCTTTGGGTTTTTTGAAGAATGAAGAAAGACTTTCTTTTTGTTAGAAGGTTAAATTTATCCAAAGGTGCTTTTTCCTGCGCGTCCGATTGCAATCGGCGCCGATTCTGATCGGCTATGATCAGCCGCCTATGACATAGCACCTTAAGGTGTACGTTCTTTCCAGGAAAAGAAGAGAAAAAAGAGGAAAACCAGAAGGAACACTGAAAATTGTTCAAGGAAAATTCAACTCTTCCGGTCTTATTTCGTTTCACTTTATTTAAATTTATATTTTAATTCTTCTATTTTTAGTTGTGGAATTATAATTTACATTTCACTATAGTGTTCTCTTCAAATCCTCAAAATATCTTGGAATTTTGAAAAAAATGCGTAAAAATGGCAATTGAACCACTTTTTCTGCATGAAATGAGTCTACCTCTGGCGAAGAAACGCTTTATGGTGCAGAATAATAATAATGATTTCTTATCATAAAAAGATCAATCAAAGTTATTAAGGAAATTCGAAACCAACTGAAAGTATTTGAATGTCATTATATATCAAACACGATATTGTGTGAGTTTTCATACAGTGGAGAGGCATAAAAATGAAAAAAAAAACAAAATAATTTTAAAAAAAACTTACAAAGTGGATAAAAGGCCATGTCATGAATGGCCGTTGTGCCCAAGTCTGGTGCATTGATGCGTGATGGGTCCCGTGATACCATGGATTCGAGACGTTCTCGAAACATATTTAGAAATCTGCAAAGGGAAAAACCAAAAAATAACCATAACAATAAAAATATTTTGCAATTGCTCGGTGGCAAAAACTAAGTTGCAATTCGTATGCAAATGTGAATTCATTCATGAAAATGTGAGTTGTTGTTGTTGTTTTTTCCATCTTTGTTATGAATGCAACACATCAAATTACGAATGGCGTTGAATGTACTTTAAAAACTGGAATTTTTGAGTACGAAATGAAAGACACACATGGAAAAAGCAAAGCGAAGAAGAAGAATGCAGTTGGCCGTTGCACAGAAATCGGATTACATGAGGAGTCCGTCAAAACACACGAAAAATAAGTGACAAACAAATTAACAAACTACAGAAGATAACACACACACACACAGAGAGAGAACAGAGCGGACAAAAAAAAATGAAGCGACAAAAACGCAACAGCGTTGGGGCATCGGCAGCGTGAAGAAGAGACACCATCCAAAAAGCCAATACACTCGAAAATATGCAAGTGCAGCACTATTATGTCTGTCTGTCTCGTAACCGGACACATAATTACTTGTATATTGTCTGTCTTGAGCAATCATTAACGCATTTTTCACCGATTTTTTCTTCCACTTCGGTCACAACAAATTTTCGAACAGCGCTCGCATGCAATTTCGCAGTTCAGTTTCTTCATGCTCATTCGTTCGTTTTGGGTGTGTGCATGTTTGTGTTTGTTTTCATAATGAAATCGGATCACCCATTTAATTATGATTCTCTTCAACCATTATCTTATCTTTATTTGGCAAATTACATTGAAATTCAGGCTGCGCCATTTATTCACTTTCGACTTTTTTTTCGGCCAAAAATTGAACTCTACTTTTCCACAATTTATTATTACTGCCCTGTAAGATTTTATTTTGCTCCGTTTCATTGCTCTCTATCTATCTCTAAATTGAATCCTTTTTCTTCGATACATGCCCTTGGTCTCATTTTTTCAATAACGAAACTTGCTCCCTAGAATTGATCACATTTAGTACATTCTATGGCGTATTATCTCGCTTACAGTTAAGAAGCAACATATGCCGATTGAGTGGACTCAACTAGGGATCAAATTCGATCGAATCAATTTCGATCTAATTAAATTCGCTCATTGTCGATCTAATTCGAAATTCAAATGAAAATTCGAAAACAAAAAAAATCAGCCTCAAATTCATTGGTCAAATACAAGAAGCTGGAAAGTTCATCAACACATTTCCAGTGCATTAGACTTTTTTTTCAATATGCTGCGATTTATTTTTTCGTTCACAAGAGCGTGAAAATATTTCGTGACGCCATTTCTCAGGTTAAAATTGCATGCGCATTTGAACGGCCCAACGAAAAAAAAAAAAACAAGAGTCGAGAATGGGAAATTGAACAGCAAAAGAACAACATACGACGACGACAAAAAACAACAATTAAGACAAATTTTGTTTGTCGAAATGAAAATTGACGCTCATCGTGTACACACACGGTGTGCAACATTGTTTACGATTTTATTGGACATTTTTATTCATTTTGGATATTTTTCAAGAATTTTTCGTGATGTTGTTTATGTGCTTGTTGCAGTTCGGTCATTAAAACCAAGTCCGAGAGAGAAGAATAAATAAAAATTGGCACGGAATTGTTGGTTTCAACAAATTACGTTCTTTGTTGTTGTTGTTTTTTTCTGCTGATTGCATATGAATTGGCCATTACACCGATGTGAGCCAGGTGAACCAATTGACGGCGACGAGATACGCAAGTATGAGCGCGCAATTCGGAAAACTCTGCGCGCTCAGACTTTTGACTCTCATGGGCATTCAGATTACTTAAACTTGAGAGAATGCCATTACTTGGGTGCTGGCTTCGGTTAAATTTGATGTTAGAAAAATGTGCAGACTCAATCGGCTTTTTGGCAAACGTCAACAAACCGCAAAATGCACATTCCAACTAATTGATGGCATTAAATTTTATACACGTATCGTAAATATAGTAAATGGCATTTTATGACCACAAAACTACACAATATATATTTCCGCTGAAATAGCTTAGCTTAGTGTCAATTTTCAGAATGTGTGGAATGATACAAACACCAAGCACGGCCAACTGTTGTTGTCACCAACCATCGAACCATTTGAGATTCAAACGAATAGCCATTTAAAACATTGAACGGGGCTCTTTTTTTGTTAATGGTGTCCACGTTTTTCTGTCAGTATTTTTTTTAAATGGATTTCACACATTTCTTCTTTCTAATAAAAGAAATTCTATCTTCAGAAGAAAAGTGTGAAATCCATTGGAAAAAACTGCAAAATTATAGAATTTCTCTTCTTTTTCGTTTTTTCTTTCTTTTCTGTCACTTGTTGAAGGAAGTCTCTTTTCCCGACTTTCTTTTTTCTCGCTCTGTATTTTATTGATGCAGAGAGGGGAATAACGGTTTAATTCGAAAACATGTTGGGAAATTCGAAAACATATGCAGATTACGATAGAAGCTCATCGATCAATATCGACAGGCTACTTTTCAAGATGAAAAAAGAACGAAATAGACACATTTCTTCTAAGCAACGACACCGAACTGGTGAGAAATTACTCGAATTTATAATAATGGTATCAAAAGCAATAAAAATCATACAGCAAATGGTGAAATGCCATCAAAAGGTGTGCAAAAAATATTTAAAATTGATAAAAAAAAAACTACAAAAAAGTAATAGAAATAGTAGAAAAAAGACACCAAAAACTATAAGTATGGACAGTAATTACAAAAAGACTGAAAAATAATCTTCAGTCTTCTTTCATTAAAAATTCATTTTTTTCATTCAGAGGGAATTTTCATTCGACTCAGCAGCGATAAAATCATGAATAAATGCCGTAAACTTTCGAAAGGAATTCAAGAATTGAGTCATTCTAGCAATTAAATTCACTTGTATATTCTACAAAATGACGCACAAATTGTGCACACTCCTCCCATCAGTATTTTAGAACGCATAATTTTGAACTTGAAAGTCTTTGGCCACTTCGGCGTATTTTATCAACGGATCATATTTTGGGTGAAAAAAATAACTGTTCACATAGCGAATTTGAAGCCGAATTTGAGCTGCATGTCCATTTGAAACTGAATTTGAACCGGCCAAATAAATATTGTTAAATAAATAATCCGAACGTGTTTAATGAACGAACATTAGCGAAGATTGAACGAAGCAAAAACCCCAAAATGCTTGTTTATAAAGTGTTTGTTATTATCGCTGTAAGCAAAAAGCTTCTACGCTCAGTTTTTTCGATTTTTTCTTTCATTTGTTACTTCCCATTTTCCCATTCCATCTCATTTCGTCGATTCCATTCTTAGTGATCAGCAGAAATTTCACAATGTTTGCATTGATGTGCGTACACAAATGTCGTTGTATCGATTTCAAATGTTGTCTCCACAGAGAATAACAACAGAACGGCGACAATAACAAGAAAAACGAAGCAAGAAAAAAACTCTGTTTGTATCGTCTGGCCCTTATGCAACATAAATATTTGTGCCGTCCATTTCAATGAATACCGATTAAATGTGATTTAAATCTATTGTTTTCGTTTTTAATTCCAGACACCCGGGTTTTGTGCCCGAAAATAGCTCACTCAAGGCAGCCATTCCGATCATTCTTTCATTCTCGCCCCCCTTTGCCTCTCCGCCTCTTTTATACACGTCAAATAAACGCCATTTATTAATTGAATTGTATAGTGCGAATAGCCCATAAGAAGCAAAAAACGACCACAAAGAAATGAGGAAGAAGTATGTTGCAATAATAAAGATCGACATCATGACGCGATTGACTTGAGCTACGCAATAAACAAAATAATTTCTTTTCCTCATACGGTTTTTTTTGGCGCACCATTGGATTAAACGAATTGAGATAAAAAAAAAATTACACACAACACATTTATCAATGGTTATATGAATGGGTTTTATGCGTGACATAGTCAAGTGTGTGGTTTTTTTCGACTCGATATTTTGCATGGTGTGAAATTTCTGGCGATTTTCGTGCCTTGGAATTGCTGACAAGGCTGGCAATGGGAGTGAGAGCGGAGTAAGAGTAGAGTAAGAGCGAGAGATAGAGGGCCATTGGGATAGGGATGGAGTGAGAGCGTGGGATGGAGGTATATCAAGTGGGAGAAATTGAGAGAGAGACAGGAGGGAGAGTGAGAGAGAGACTCAGAGCAAGAAGAGGTAGAGTATGATCCATCAAGCTAGCAATAGAAAAACGCCAGCAAGCTAGCATAGACGAGATGAGCGAACAAAATCACTGTATACTTGATATACAAAATATGCGATCATGTATCAAAGTAAGCGAATAATTTTGCGCGCGAATTGCAAAATAGGGACTAAATTTACACAGTAACCGAGAGAGAGAGAGAGAGAGAGAGAGAGAGAGAGAGAGAGAGAGAGAGAGAGAGAGAGAGTGAGAGGTGCGCGTGAATACTCGTCATCCGTTTAATAGGTCAATTGAATACGATTGCGATTTCATAATATTCATGTAGAACCTAGGAAACGAGTAAATGTAGACGGATAAATGGTGGCCAATCATTCATTCTTTGCACACATTTGAAAGTCATTCCAAATTGATCGCATCGTACGAGAGGACAATTCCGTCAAGAGCGTGAGAGAGAGAGAGAGGGAGAGAGATAGAAAATAGTGAAGACGGCAGCATTGTTACGATAGTTGTTTTGATTTATGTTCCTTGTCTATGATTACACACGCGCGCTATAAAATGCGTCTCTATTTTATTTTCTCTCTCTCTCTCAACAATTGAAAGTAACAGTAGCAAATTGGACGGATTGGCAATCAAAGTATATGATTTTCGTTTTGATGACGAACGAAAAAAAGAAGAAGAAAAAAACACACGCAACACACGTACGATGAAACTACGTTTAAACAACACGATAAGTCGACGTTTGTCAAGTCAGCAATTAAAATGCGATGTGTTTAACATAATTTGTGAATCGAGACAAACATCTCATCAAACAGGATGCAACGTCTCTGATTTGCAACGGACCATATGGCCATGTCTGCACATGTTTGCTTGTTTTTTTTTCATTTCGTTTCTTTCTCTTTCTTCTCATGTTTTCGCACAGAATCATGTTAAATAACAAACGACACAAAAATAATTGCCGAATGAGCGATAGAGAACGAGAGAGAGAGAAATGGGGAAGAGGAGGAGACAGCCAGACAGACCGAAAGAGTGAAAGAATGAGATCGAGCAGCAGAATTAATGTTGGGCTTTCATTGCCAAGGTTGCGTGGTTGCATTAGAGAGATCAATTATCACATCACACAAGCGTCGTCGCGTGGTTTTTTTCCCCTTTATTTTCATTGCGTTCGCTCGCTCTTTTCGCTTTTTTCGCTCAAATGAATTTTCGTGTGCCACTGTCTTGCTGACTGGACTTGTTTTGTTGCTCTCTCTTCTTTGTTTTTGGGCCCTTTCGCCGGCTGCAAGCGCTTCCACTCAAATTTGCATTCAGAAGTGATTCGACGTTTTTTTGTGTGACCGATCGCTTAAAATTTCTACCGTTTTACCAAACGCCCGTGTGTATGTGTATGTGTATGTGTGTATGACGGGGAGAGCCTAACGATCTACATTGGCTGGAACGAAATCAACCGAGAATGAGGTATCTTGATTTAATTTGAATCCGGATCGCGTCGGCTTTCACATGACTATTCCGACACCGACCTACTAAGCACGATTCGATTATTACACCGACGACGACGACGACGACGACGACGACAACAACAACAACAGCAACATACCAACCACCATCATCATGATTATTATGAATGAAAGCCGGCGTGGGCGCGACAGACCGATTTTGATAAGAAACGACTGCATCGTGTGCCACTGCACAACACAACCGAACCCAAACATTGTGCAGTGTATGTTGCATGGCAGTTTCGATTATTATAATTTCCAGCTCAGCGTTGCATTTTCTCTCTCTCCGTGTGTGTGTGTTTGTATGCAACGTTATGCCATTTCGACCATATACTTTATTCACCGGCTATGCCGTGTTTTGACATTTTTGTTTTGTTTTGTTGCTGTGATTGTTGTTGTTGTTACCGTTTCGCTCGTCTCGGTGCAACATTCTTTTTTCTGCTCAACTTTTCTGTGTGATGTGTGATAAAAAATTGTAGTCATCGGCACAGAAATTCAATTATGCTTGGATATGTTGGTTGAAAAAATTGGCGGCAGTTGGGATTGACTGTATTTGACTTTTGGCTTTTTTGAATTTTGGTTTTTTCATAAAATTTTCAAACAATTTCTACGCCCAAAAACCGAATTTTTTTAGCAAAACAACTAAAAAATAAATGCAAAAAATGAACTGATGAGTGGTCAAACGTCATCCCTGTAGAACACATTAGATTCTCTTTCTATGCATCATGAGGTACAAAAAGGTGTGATATCGAAATGTAATGCCATTTTATTTGTCTTTGTGTCTCATATTCGCGTGCATCAGTCAAGTGCAGTGTGTGTGTGTATATAAATGTGATTCTCTCTTTTGTTTTCTTTATTGGATAACTAAAATGTTTTGATTACATTCGTCCACAATCAGGAAATCAGCCAAATGAGAAGAAGAGAGACAGAGACATAGAGTGCGGACGAATGAGCGGAGCGCATCAAGATAGAGAGGAGAACAGAATAGAGAGGACTTAGTAGTAGGTACCGTGCACCGTGTGTATGCGTTTTGCCTTTTTGACGCTCGTACATCTATCAAATCACCAGAGAGGCCAGGGCTCATCATTTTCAGTTTGGCAACAATGTCGACGCGTTATTTGCTCAATGCCATTTTGCATATTTAAATGGAAGTCATGTATGTTTGAAGAAAAGTCGATAAAAAAATCCGATGTGATTAAATAGAAAAAACTTCAATAGGATTTCTTCGATTTTTCATTCATTCAAACGAGGCTCTCAGTATGTGTGTGGTGAATGGAGTAAAATACAAGCCCTGGTCTAGACTAATATAATAGATACGGTTAATTTTTGCGTGTGCAGTTGATGTAGCGTATCGAACGGAATATGCGCTAGACACACGGCTAGACATCGGCTAGACACATACCGTTTTTTTTTTAATAAAATAAAAAAAAATAAAACAAAAACCAGAAAGAACATAAAAAAACTTTCTTCCAGCCGAATGCATGGAGAGGAAAAGAGAGAGAGAGAGAGAGAGAAACACACAACAAATTCGTGGTCAGTTTTCGTTTAATGACTATAATTCCAGCTCTGTCCGGCTAGCCCATCTAGTTTCTTCTTTTTTGTCACTGTGTGAGAAAGACAAAAAATCGAACGATTACCCGCTATCAACGGGTTAATTATGTGGTTTTAGAGCCTTTCACGCTTCCACTACGAGTACAACAGTTGAAAATGCCTAACCTTTGACCTTGGTCACTTTAAACTATCAGTGACTGGCTATTTTGTCTATCTCCGAACATGACAAACCAACCAACAGACAAAATGGGTTCCTCACAAATTTACTTTGTGAACGAGACAGAAAACTCTTCTTTCGGTGCAAGAAAAAAGACTCATTTTCGGTACGAAAAAAAATCTCGCGTACAAACAAAGAGAGACAAGCGACAACGACGACGACGACGACGGCGACAACGAAAAACATTCTGAGCTGAATAGCACCGAGGAAAAAAACACAAAACAAATGAGGTGATTCCCATTTTCATATATGACATGGCCGAGAAAATTTTATTAAATTATTACATCGTTTTTTCTTCTTCTTAAAATAAAACGGCTTGGCGACGATTTATTGTCAGCGCATTCGTCATATTGAATCGTGATAGTATGTGAAATAGCGCAACACACACATCGTGAATTATAATTTAAGCCTTTGGCCTGCATCTCATGGATGAATGACCAAAAAGTAAGGAAAAAAGCGTAGAAACAGAAAATAAACACGATTTACACGAACGTCTGGCTGTGTGAAATTTTTACGAATCGACTGTTTGAATAAGGTCACTTTTGGCATTTTTTCTGAGGCAAATGAGTGAATTTTCGGGATAAAGTCACTTAATTGAGTGACTTGGCTCCACAGTGGAATTGAAAATTGTGGTTCCCATCATTGAGCTCCATTTGATTTTTATCTCCGTGTTGATTCTCTCAATAGTTCTCTCAATGATTTCTCATTTAGTTCATTCATTTTATTTGTCAATTAGAATGAGTCACTCATTAGAATGGATCATAGCCCAAAAGGCTGACAAGCCATTGCCTCCGTTCATTAGAAGCAAAAAAAGTCGTTGCATTGATACAATTGCAAGAATGCAGCAGCAAATAATTTTGTTGTTGTTTAGCCAACGTCTGGATGTTGTTGGCAAAGGTGTAGAGTGTAGACAGTTGAAATGGGATATCTTTGATATGCGCTGATTCAGATGTCAACCGCTTTTGATTGCAAACACACAGACTGTAAGAGAATCTATTCATATTGTAAACGAATTGTTTGTGCGCAAATCAAACTCAATGGAATCTGTTGATTCAGATAATTCAAGCGTTTCATTCATGCATTCATTCATCATCGGGCCATTATACCACGAAACGCGTCATCTAAGTCTCAACAATGTTCAAAGCGCGCTATGCAAAAAATTGTCGCGCACATCGCATCACCACCTTTGGAATTGGAAACACCTGTTGTGCCATTCCAATCTATTTTGCGAACTTAAATTCCAATCTAATAATTTTTTACGTATGAATCGCTTCGAAAAATGTGTTTTCTTTTAACTTGCATTCGGCATGAATTTATTCAAATTGACTTCTATTTAATACATTCACAATAAAGAATATAAAAAAATTGATAAATAAAGAACAAAGACAGAAAATAGTGACTTACTCTTGTTTCCCTATTTCGGTTCCTGTGGGTTCGCTGGTTTGATCGGGATTCGTGTCGGGATTCGTGCTAGCTCGTTCAACGACAGTTGCCGTTTGTAAATTGGCATTGTTGACAGCGGCCGCTTGCATTGCGATTCGTCGCAAAATTTCATCTTTGCTTACATTGAAATTGTTCAGCACTTCAGCCGTATTCGAATCATTTATATTTAGAACCCGATTGATCACTTGGTCGTTTCCATACGAGTCTGCGAAAATAAAATCGAACATGTGCAATTATTACCTTGAACCATCATTATTTATGGCCTAAAAATGACACTTTTATTGATCGAAAAATTGGTTGGATTTTTCGGTAACCAAGTGAGAAATTCAAAAATAGGATTCAATTTTATGAATTCAAGGAAATGTGGAATAGTTCTTTACTCATTTCAAATCGGTCGAAATGATTCTTTCATTGTTTGTTCTATAGAAAATTGATTGTTTTTCTATTAAAAACTGCAGTTGAATGCTTTTGTTCGATCTCTTCTGATCAGTGAAATGAAAGAAATTAGGTCTTTCAGTGTATGAAATTTAATGATGGGTCTTATCGAAAGAAGAAAATCAATCGAAATGAAATTGAAAAAATGGAATTGGAATTTTAAAAACTGAAAATCTTCATTGTTCTTCACATCGCGGTTCTTGAATGGAAATCTTTGAATTTCATTAAACTAGATCAAAATGAATGTGAGCCAAATCGAAACATAAATCGAAACAAAATCAAAAAAGTTAAATCGAAATCGCAGTGTCGTTACTTCAGACACAAGAAAAAGAAAACAGAAGAGTTCAATGGCGATAAAAGAAGAAATACGTTGACTGCCGATAAATTTCGGATGGAACTCACCATGTCGAAACGTTTGCTGTGATGAATCGGTTGGTCCATTTTGGCCTGAATCCAAGTTACCCCCGCTTCCGTTCAATGGCAATGACAATAATAACACTAATAAAATCACGCACTTCAAACAATTCACATTTACACTTAAATTTGACATGATTTATGGATTCTTCTTTCCTTCGTATTATCAAACAAAGAAAAATTGTTTCTTTTTTTTGGTCGTTTAAAATTGACGAATTTCCATAAGTACAAATTTAAAGAGAAAAAAAAAAGTTGTTGATCACTTGATAATATTGTTCTTGAGTCACTTGACCAATTTATTCATTTCCCCAGTAAATGACAGTTATTTTCTTGTCTTTTTCTCAATCACAATTTTTGAAAATAGTTGGTTGCAAATATATTTTTCGCTCTCTATCTCTCTCGTTCGAAATCGTTTATTTTTTTCCTTTTTTCAAAACCGTTAGCTATTCTGCATCAAATTTTAAAATTGATCGCGATATTTCTGTGACCATTTTCACAAGGTAAAAAAAAACCCGAAAAATTCGTCACATTGAGAATTTGCCGGGCGAAAAACGCAAAAATCACTAAACACTCTTGGTTGAATCTCTTGGAAACGATCGAAATTGACAAACAAAAACACTTTGTTCTTTTGGGCGGAAAACCGAAAGAACTTTACGAGAAGTAAGAAAAATTTGTGAAAATTTATGAAGGAAGAGAGGCACACGAGAATTCTTTTTTTTCGTTGATATTGTTGTTATCGTGAAAGTGTGTGCGACTGGCTAGTAAGAAGGTTCAGAGTAAAATGATTTGTGGAAGACTTTTTTAAAGACATAAATAACATTTCACACATCATTCGTGTGCATGTGTACATATAGCTAACTATAGGAGCATAGATATTGTTTTTTGTCAGCGCGAGTCAGAGCAAACACATACACCGGGACACGACAAACGACACAGAGACTACGACGGCAGCGGCGGCGACGAAAACGACGACGGCAGCAGCAGCAGTAGCAGAGACGGCCAGTGCCACAGGTACAGACACAGTGTACGAGTGTTTGGTGGTAGCCAGTATGTATGTGAACGAAATAAGCTCACGGTCGTGCGCGCCCGGTCCGAATCGACTGTCGACTTACTTAGACGTGATATGGTCGAAACTCGGCGTCAAACGAGAGAAACAGAACGAGCACACACACACACACACACACAGAGAGAGAGAGAGAGAGAGAGAGAGAGAGAGAGAGAGAGAGAGAGAGAGAAAAAAAAAATCCCATACTATCGAATCGTGTGCACAGCCGGCACATTCAGCCAGAGCGCAGACACAATCTAACCAATTTCAGCGGAGCTTAGAATAATAGAAATAATATTTTCGTCACACACAGAGGGAACAAAAAAAACGCACACAAATTTTATAAACGCATTCATTAAAATAAATAAAAATAATAACAACAACAAAAAAGAGATATGCTTTGGAGAATGGGCTACTATCTGTGGCTCGCGCTCACACAGACGCACCAAATTTTGCTGCACATTTGATTTGGCCTGCTTCTTGGTTTGTGTTTTTTTTTCTACTTCTTCTTCTTTATGTTCTCAGTTCTTTACTCTCGGCCTCTCTGTACGCATTTTGGCCCCGTTCATTCATCACTTGCTTTTTTTTCCTCTCTCCTTGATGTTGATTTTTTTTCGGTGTGGTTTTTCCTCTCTCTGTCTCTCACCCGCACATCACTTCTGGCTCCCGGTCGTATGCGTTTTTTGCTCTTGTTTGTCAAACGAAGGTGCGCGAGAGCGCGACTCTCTCACTCGTTCGCTCTCTCTGTTCCTTTCTGTCTCTCTGGTTTGACGGTGATTAAGTTTTGTTTGTGTTTTTGCATTTTTCCAATTTTGTTTTATCTCTATTCTCTTTTGCCATTTGATTTATGCGCAGCGTGTGTATGCAACGACGATGATGACAACGACAACGACCGATCTTTCTTTCGTTCTTTCGCACTCTTTTACTCTCTTGTTTTTTTTTTGCTCTCTCGTGTTGCTCCCTCACTCACTCGCTCGTTCGCTGGCGATAAAACGCACAATTATCTTTTGTGCATACACAACCAAGGTGTTAAGTTCGGTAGCAGCGCAATTTTGGTGCTATGTATAACAACAGGTGCAATTTTGTGATACACTTTCCGAATATGAACAAAAACAAGCCTAATGAATTGCTTGAATTATGTCATTTAATATTATTGTTGTTGTTGGTAGTCCAAAGATGAGAAAAAAATGTGTATCACGACTAGGAAAAAAATCTAAATTTTGCATAATGACGACGAAGATAATGCACGTAATCAATGCAACAGCTGAGCATTGTGTGCAGCCAAAACAATCGAAGCTATGCAAAATGCGTGAACCGACGGAATGACGATGAAGAAGAGAGATTGAGAGAGAGAGAGAGAACCAGAGATACAAATCAAATCACCACACATCATACACCAGACCACAATCGCACATTCGCAGACACATTTCGATTTCATTGTGCAGTGCAGCGTGTTTCTGCATACATAGTTTTTCTGCTTCCACAAATGTATAAAATTGTTTCCATTCCAATCCGATTGATAGACACCAAGTGCATATTTTCTACTTCTCTCTATCTCTCTCTCTCCTTATCTCGCTCACTCTCTCTGTGTCTATATATATATATATATATATATATTTATGGCATTTCGTTCAGTATTGACATGCAACAGTAACCGGTAAACTTTCTTCACATATTCCTATTCTGTCCGAGGCTTTGATGTCTGTCTCTCACTCTTTTTAGCCTCGGTGTGTCTGGTGTGCGTGCGCGCTCTCGCGCCATCATTCACGTTTGCCAGACACACGCGCCCCACTCACACAGACACCGATTTCGATTCTGAAATAGAATTCGTTCGAAAAAGTACCACATTTCCAGAGAATTTCTAACGATTCCTTCCGAAACCAGTTTCGTGGTAAATGGTTATCGGTGAACTGTCTGCATACCATACATACGGCCGGCCTCACTTTTCGTTCATCCGTCCAGTCGCGCATTTGGTATGGTCTGACGAAAAACAAAAGAAATAAAAATAAATTACAACAACAATAAACACAAACACGAACAAGTGCTATAAACTAACACATTTCACCAGAAGAGGTTTTATGCGGTAAGGAACCATACACAGCTTCCCCGGATCACGTTTTGTCTGTACACACATCGGAACGGGAAATAATAAAAAAAAACCACGATGACGAGATGTCTTCGATATTCGAACTTAGATCGCTAGACTTGCTGAACGGTGTGTGCGTGGTTGACAAGCCCGTCCAATCTATACTCTGTCCAAGAAAGAAGTCATACTCTCTTGAGATCAAAGCAATAGTTGAATTCAATTAGAACAACGCAAGATCGATGGCATTAGAACTTCATGGCTACTGATCACGAATCCGATAACTGCACATATACTACTCCTTTTTCCCACTCTTTACTTTTCCCTGTGGCCTCTTTTGGACCTCTTTTGTTCAGTCACAACAGATAAGAGAAACATGGTTAATGAAACTTCTCCGCTTATTAAAAGACTCCGTCAGAGTATGTATGATCTTGTAAGGGCATTTTTTGACCTCAGAATGAAATATTTGAAGAAAAAACAGAGAAAAAAAACAATTTAGAACAACAAATGGAGAAAATTTTGGGTGGAAAATTGAATCAAACGTTATTCTAGTCAAAATTTTGGAGTTTTTGCATCGCTTTAAGGACGAATGATGGAGAAACCACAGGAAAATTAACCAGACGATGCTTAATTATCGACACTAAAAATATTTTAGAAATGTTTTGAATGATATTCTTTTCATTTTTCCCAAAAAAAAAAATTACCCATTTTTCAATGAAAAATCCCTTTTTTGCGGAATTTGATCATTTTTTCCATACAAATTGAACATTTTTTAGATCAACTTCAGAACATTTTTATCAAATCAGTTGAAAAATCATATAAAATATTCAGAATTTGGATTCTTTTCGAGAATATTTCTCAAAATATTGTTTTGTATCTATTTTTAATAGAATTTTGAGATAATATTGTTAAAAAATTGTTTTAATCTAATTAATCAATAACTCTATTTTATGCTTTGATCCATGGTAAAATTATCAATTTGGTTCCTCTTTGAAAATCTTTGATTTTTCAGCAGTTTGTGTTTTCCTACGAAGAGTTTAATTGATTATTAAAATTCAATGAAAATCAATAATTCTGATCGGAATCGAACCGATTCGAATCTCTCTTGCCCGAAATTCGATTCGAATCAGTGACATCAGCGTGCATCATTTGAATCGATTGGATTAGCTGTGTACAATATTAGCTATAAATACACGTATTAGCCAAGCCACATATTGGCTGATATATTTATGTATCAACATCAAAGTTGTGTAAATGCTGTTATTCGCTTTTATTGAAAAATGTGAATGTTTTCGTGCATTCTTCAGAACAAGACATGGAAACAAATGGAAATGTTGGAGAAATGTGATTGAAGTGCCAATCGAAACCTAATAAAGTTTCAAAGAATTAAATGCACTTATGCAATGAATAAATCAATGGCATAACGATGTCGAGAAGAGAGCGTGCATTGAAAGATAGAAGTGTGAACATTCGACGACGACAACAACAGCGGCGATGCCGACGACGACTTTTTGAAAGGGGAGACAGAGTAGAAGGAAGAAGAAGAAAATAACGAATTTTATGTGCATCCATCACAATTAGCAACATTGTATGGCTTCAATAATTGCTGGAAAGTTGTAGCACAAGAATAATGATGAAGTTTTTCGAGTTATTTTTTCACCTTTCTTAAATGGTCCTCGGTAGAAGCGCAGTGTCGCAGTCACACAGCGACACGAAAAGAAAAAGAGTCAAACGGGCAAGCAGCAACGGCGACAGATTCGGCCAAACATAATCAAAGAGTACATTTTACTTGATTGATGCATCATCATTATCGACAGACTTTCCTGTCAAACGTAGACATTTTTTGCTGCACAACCGTTCAGCTGAGTGGCCATTTCGGGCCAAAACAACAATTTTTACATTGAAATTGATTGATTGAAAGAAAAGAAGAAATGAAACAACAAATAGTTGAATCTATTTATGGTGTTCAACATTCGTTTTTGACATTGAATTTTTTTTTTCTTTCCCCGCGAGAGCAAGTGATTTGTGCCGGCGACATTTCGCAGACTCCTTTCATTCTCGCTCCACCAGAATTCAATTGAATAATAAATCGGCGGTGTGTATCTTATTTTCGACACATGATATATCGGGAGTGTTAACGCACGAGAGCACGATGCGTAGATGCGTAAATCGCGATGTTTTAATGCGGTGAGCAATTTTGGGGCCGAAAGTGTCATATGAATTGGCTGGTGTTCAGAGCAACAACCGACGGATTGGAATGAACTCCAAGTCGTATCAAACTATTAGATTTCAACGGAGTGCTGTATGCTTTTTTTCTCTTCTTCTTATCGCTTTGCGTCTATTGAAGAAAATTGGCATAGTTTTTGGACGCACACGTTTGGCCAATTTCACTCGGTCAATACTGTAAAATTTGCTAAATATTCGGATTCAGGGCTTTGCATCGACTCGAAATCTTTTCAGATCGACTCTTTTTTTCTTTGTTTTTTTTTTTTCGAAGAGCGATCATTCATCGTGATCTCTTCCTTTCCTCCTTGGTTGAGACCATTTTATTCACACCTTTTATTTTCCGCCGATATTGATGCTCAGACAAAATGCTCGAAACGAAGTCAATTCTAATCGCATAACACTTTCTTTCGTTGCTATCATTCCACACAGAACTATTATGCTAACAATCATTTTCTAATTATTATGCTCTTATTAGAATTCGTTCGATGTTTGAAATGCTTATCTTCTAGTCAACCCTATCGAAACTGTCACGCATCATTTCTATGAACAATAATTGAATTTAAATAGTTACCATTATCAAAAATTTACTCTTTAAATGAATAGGCTTGGAAAAAAAGAGTGAGAAAGGCGTATGGAATGAGGAGTGAAAAAAAAAGAAACAACAGCCAAGTGGCAGAAGGAAAGAGAGAGAGAGAGAGAAATAGAGATAGAGATAGAGGGAGAATGAGTGGGAGGAAGATAGAGATAGAGATGGAGACGTAGATGTAGATGGAAAGAGATGGGGATAATAAAGAAAAAGACAAGAAGATTGAATATAAAGTCGTATAGGCGGAACGGCCGACAAGAAATCAAAGCATACAGATCATACGTTTGTTCGCACTTGTTTATTTTGATTTGGTTTTATGTTTCGATAGATAAGAATTGACGAAGAGAGATAGAACGAACGTACGATATCTATGTGAAACGATGTGTTCTCGTGTCAAAAGTGAATGCGATATACGGTCAATGACATGATGTCAAACCTTATACCATATCCTATAAATCAAAAAGAGCGCACCGTTTCATCTCTCGTTTTGTTTCTTTTTCATTTGTTACGCATACTCGATCACTGTACAAAAAGGCGACCACCTCTCAAATGGTTTGAACTCGAAATTTGATGGACTGAACGGCACTGAATTATTGTTTGAATCAGATTTAACGCATTTGAAGTCACATTTCTCGAAACAGTCTCTCTCTCTCTCTCCCTTTCTTTCTTTCTCTTTCTTTGTTTTTTTCTTTCTTTCTCCCTCCCTCCGTCCCTCTCTTTCGCACTCTTTCTCGATCTCAAGCAGTCTTTTGTTTTCAAGGTCAAACACTTTAGCCATACAAATAAACCAATTTTCAAACGAACGCATATTTCGAACAATCGGTCTCTCGACGCGTTTGAATTGCGTGCGGCGGCAACTTTTCTAGGAATATTTTTTTTTCACTCTCTCGGCTCTTTTTGGTTGAGATAAATTGAGACCGAGCCGATTAAAGCTTCCTCCCGACATCGAATTAAAATACCATTTCGGCTGGCATGTGCGTGGTTTACCATTTCTTTTTCAATTCAATTTAAAAGGAACACTTTAGACGCGTCGCACAAATTTATAGACAAATTAAAAAGGAAGAAAAAAAAACAAACGAAAAGAAAAACAATTTTTTGCTATTCTACACATGCCACGAATCTCTTTTACGCGCTGCGCTGCACACACTGCCTCGTCAATTGAGATATTTCGATAGTTCAGGTCTTGACCTTCAATTAAGAACAATGTTGTGACCATCGAATCGTCATTTTGCGGGCGCGCGTGTGGCATGTGCCACACCAAAACATTTTCTATGGATGAACATTCTTCTACGGGAATCAATCGATGTGGCTCCTTTTTAATTGGCCCACAGAGAGATTGAAAGAGCGAAAGAGAAAATGAAAATTCATGCGGATATATTTAAGAGTTCAACGACTTTGACACCTTCAAAATATGGTTTGGAATTTCATGAAGAGTCCTTTTTATTGGATTAAATTTTATAACAATTGTAAACAGTGTGGCATTTAATTTATCAAAATTTGACTATTTTGATTTTAGTAATAATTGCTTCAACATAACATAATAAATGAAGCGGTGTTGACTGCACTAGTTTACAGGAGAATTCAGTTTCACGCATAAGATCGTTGCATGAAACTGCAGCATGTAATATTATATGGAATCAGTCTTATTATTATTATCAAAAGTAATTAATGAAATCTCATCACTCGCAACTAAATTGCATAAAAATTATTGTTTGATTGAGCCATTAGAGTCATTCGATGGCTTCTGTTTCCATTTATAAAACTAAACCTATTATTTTCCCTATTATTTATCCTTTTAACCATCAATAAAGTCGATTTGAACGTTTTTGTACTTGAAAAATTTCGAAAAACTAGCGAAATCGTTGCATTTTTCTTCTTTTTTTGTTTTTACAAAGAAAAATGGATAGAATGTATAAAAGACACTGGCTTCGTTTGGATTAATAACGATAATAATATGACGGCCGATGCATCAAGTGTAGCATACATTTGGGCGTTCATTTATTTCAGCTTCGAATTTAAAGGTTTTTTCCCAATGCCGTTTAAAAATTAAGTAATACAAAAGCTTTGAATCACAATTTGTGGTATTTTCGTCTCATAATGGTTGTTAAATGAACGTATAGGAATAAAAGGGTAAGAAAAATGGTGCTTTGATCAGCAAGGCAATCAAATATTGAGGAAATAAAGATAGAAATATCGATGAAAGGTTTGAAAAAAACAAGCAAATTTTCAATTTCCATTCATTCGTCGGAGAAACGACTTTAGATCATATTATCCACACAAATGTTACAATTCCAATGAGGATACTACTGTGTCCAAAAAGTAAGGTGACATTGCATTTATTTTGAAAATTCTTTATTTATTCTTCCAAATCAATTTCATCGCCTTCAAAGTAATCCCCTCCCGATACAATGCACTTATGCCAACGGATTTTCCAATCTTCGAAACAGTTGAAAAAGTCGACTTCAGGGATGGCCCTCAGCTCCGTCTTCGCTGCGGCTTCAATCTGCTCTATCGTCTCAAAACGGTGTCCCCGGAGCGGTCTTTTGAGCTTGTTGAACAGCCAGAAGTCGCACGGTGCCAAATCAGGTGAATACGGTGGTTGTGGAACGATATGAGTCGAGTTTTTGGCGAAATGTTCACGAAGAATGATCGCATTGTGAGACGATGCATTATCATGGTGCAAAAACCAAGAGTTGTCTTTCCACAATTCCGGCCTCTTTTGGCGGATAGCGTTACGCAAACGACGCATAACACTCAAATAATATTCCTTGTTGACTGTTTGACCCGGGGGAAGGAACTCATAATGCACAACACCCCGATAATCGAAGAAAACAGTCAACATGACCTTGATTTTTGAGCGACTTTGGCGCGGTTTTTTTGGTCTCGGCTCACCTTTGGCACGATATTCGCTCGATTGTTCGGTTGTTTCCGGGTCGTAAGCATAGATCCAAGTCTCGTCTCCAGTGATCATGCATTTCGTCTTGTCAATGTAGTCAGAAAGCATTGTTTCACACACGTCAACTCGACACCTTTTTTCCAAAAAATTCAATGATTTCGGTACCAGTCGAGATTTGACGCGTTTGAGGCCCAAAACATCCTTCAAAATGGTATTGACTGAGCCTTTCGATATGCCAATATCATCAGCAAGGTCTCTAATCGTTAATCGACGGTTTTCCAACACCAAATCTTTAATTTTTGGACGTGAGCTTCGTCGGTTGAGGTTGATGGTCGCCCAGCACGCTCTTCGTCTTCGACACATTCACGGCCTGCTTGGAACTCACTATACCACTTGTAAACATTTTTTTTCGACATAGCCTCATCACCAAAGGCTTTCTGCACCATCCTCAACGAATCCGCAGCAGAAAATTGATTCCGCAAACAAAATTTAATGCAAATTCTTTGATCAACAAATTTCGACATCGCAAAAAACGAGAAATTCACTTTTAGCAGTCCACAAAACGAAGCGTATCTCAAACACTAATGAATATTTTGACGTGTAATTTGGAAGGGATGTCAAAGACAGTCCTACCAACCTAAAAATAAAAGGATTTTTTCAAATTCCCCAGCGCGCTAAATTTTAAATGCAATGTCACCTTACTTTTTGGACACAGTAGTATACTACGAAAATAGAATAGAAAGAAAGCACGCACAAGCGAGATGCGTACACAGAGTTCAGAATGGCAGCAGCAGTTTGTATGCAGAAAATGATTTTTTTTCTTCATGACTGCTTATAGTTCACTAGCGCAACGTATGCGCGTATTCTTTAAGTGCTCAGCTGAGACGATGCCTATTCATACTTACCTGGCGTAGAGGTTATTCGTGATCATCAAGGCGAATCCTCCGGAATGAGTCTCTTTCATTGCACTATCGAAAGAGATGAACTCTGCGATTACGGCTTACGTTCGTAACTCGTGCGTAATATTTTTGGTAGCCGGGATTAGCGTTCGCGCTATCCCGAACTTATTCTTACACCACTTTCAAATATAATAGCTGATGAGTGACTCACAGCGCCGTAGTGTTCATAAAAGCGTTTGGGGCTGAGCCCCATCTGGAAGAAATTCCAATAAAAAAATTCAATTATTTTCATTTTTTTTTCACGCTACGGTTATGATTTATATATTTATATCCAAATATGAAAAACGTAAAATCCGTGTAGTTGTTGATTAATACCAAAATGAAACACGAATTGGAGCATGCTACCTCTGACAGGATTATTTTCATAGAGCACAAATTTCGATCAATTTGTTATTCCTTTGAGGCAACCATAATAATTTTCTTCCCCCATATAATCATGTGGAAAAGCAAAGCGCAGAAATAAGTATTTATTCCTCAATCTCTGCACAGATTAAAAGCGTGACGAAACGTAGCAAATTCGATAAGTTCAAATAAATCCAAAATGTTATATCAAAATGATTCAACACTAACAAGATTTGATCCAGCTGGTTTTAAAGTCCAGCTTTATCATGAAAAGTCCAGCTGGTTTTGAGTTCCAGTTTGAATTCGTCGAAAATAAATTGTTTGAGTCATTGAGCTTCTGATATTGTTCATTTATAAAATAGTTGAAAAAGTTTATAAATAAAAAGTGACGACGGTTTTTTTTTAAATGAATATCATCAAAAGTTCAAAGTTCGCTTTGTGAAACCTTACAAAATTTTAAAATGACAAAAGAATCAAAATAATTGATTCATGTAATTTCTTGCTTGAAATATGGCCCAATTACTCAATGCCAAAAAAAAACTGTTCGATGTTTTTATTCAATCGCATGTTCAACCCACGCGATATAAATTAAATAAATAAAGTTGAAAAGAATCGTTCACTTTGGAATTTTTCCGAAGCAACTGGTTTACTTTCACAATCTAAAACAAATGTTTTTTTCATGGAATTTGATCAAAATATTTCTTCTGTTTAAATTTGTGTATTTATATTGAATATTCAATAATGGAATTTCCATTGGCAACAAAATTGTTGATATTCATCTACCGATGTTAATCAGCAAGTTCATGCTTACCAGCCGTTTTTCATGTTGAATATGTACAGTGCACGCACACGCACATTTCTGATCGTCAAAGTCTGATATGCACACTCCATTGCCATAAACAAATACAAAAAAAGCCCGCTAAACAAAAAATGCAAAAACAAAACCACTCGAAAAGTATGAAAAAAGAATATTTCTTTAGAATTTATTTGAATTGCTGTCCTTATTTACAATAATAACAATAAAATCGAATAAGAAATCTATTTAATCGTAAATGTTGTTTTTTTTTTTCAACATGGAGATTAGAATTTAAACTCTATTGATCTTCAATTTGTGTTAAATTAGTAAATATAAAAAAGGTTGTTTTTGTTGTTTGAAATTGATTCTATCTAAATGTTTAGAATTCAGAAGTCACTAGTTTGTCTCTACATTAAATGATGGTGTGTTCGTGGTGAGGTGTAGATCACTTCGACTGACTTTCGTCGAAATGAAATGGTCTAGAGGCGTGCGTTCGATTCATTTTTGGATGCGTATGGAATATATCAGCAACGGTCAGTAGACACTAATGGTGTTCCTACATATCAATTTAACAACTACACCACTCTACGGCAGCATGAATGTACAATTAAATTCCCTTGGCTATTGAGTGAATGGCCAACATGTTTGTTCATTGGAAACAAATTTACACCCAATAATTTGCTCAACAATCGTTTTATAACAGAGAATAAAAGTGGATTTCTGCGAAGATATTGACTGATTTTGAAAAATGTGGGAATTTTTTCCCTATTTTTTTCTTCTCAAAAATGTTTCTAGACGTAGAAAATAAAATGGGTTTTATTTTCTCAAAGCGAAATTTCAATTTAATTTTTCTTAATTTAAAAGAATTTAATTTTCCAGAATTTGTTCCTCATCATTTTCTTCTCTCATTTTTCATTTTTCTTCAGAAATTCTTCTACTTTTCGAATTTCAATGAATTTCACGAGAGATAAACAAGAGTAATAAAGTGATTCCAACAATGTATAGAACGTATGAAATATCATTTCTAACTCAAAAAACACATGAAATATCATATCTAACCCAAAAACACGCCTCTAGACGCCTTAATTGATCCATCGAACAACCTTAAACTTGGCTGAATTCTACCTAAACGTTGCAGCTAAGCCACTTAATAAAAAAAACTGATTATAACTCATTATTACGTTCGTTCATGATTTTATTGTCTAAAATGAAACGTAAAGAGAAGCCGTAAATTAGTTCATGGTGTATATACAATCATAAAGCGCACAGAACCATGGTTTTGAGCAAAATGTGTACAATTGAAATTTGGACGGGGAACAAAATGAAGAAATCTAAAATAAAATACACGAAAAACCATCGACAGTTTCGACGTAAACAAAATGGGCGGGGGGAGCGATATTATCAGAACAGACACGACTTTCTACAAACACTGTACAAAGTTTAAAAAAGAAGAAGATTAATTTAAAAACAAAATATGTCTATATTTATAAATTGTATCTAATTAGCAAGTCGTTTCTCTATGAAAATTAAATTATTGTGCTAGATCCATATCAAAATGACTGAATTTCCATTGGAAATTTTTCAACCGATCGCGGTTGGCATTGTATTGATGTTGTTCTGTGCGCTTTATCGCTTGCTTGACACGGCCTCTGTCTTAACTTCTAAGATTTGCGGATAATTTTCCACAATATTCAATAGAATGGTATCAATATAATGCTTCAGTCGTAGATTTTCCTCCTCTTTCTCCTGATATGCCGCTTGTAACTGCAAACGAAGAATAAACACAATTTGTTAATCATTTTTTTGTTGATAGATTTCGAAATGATATTTTTTGTTTAATGACTAGAATGATTAAAATACAAAAAGCAAAATTTCCCCCAAAACCCATGGATTATCAGATATTGTTGATATTTTTTTTTAGTGGAGGAGGATCGAAGGACAAGTATTAATTTGACAAATGGATAGGAAATGCCTCTGTATTAATTTCCAATGAGAATAAGGCGCATGAATTGCGATCAATTTTGTTAATCAAAAAACACAAAAGACAAATGGATTTCTGATTTCGGTGCTGTTGGATTTGCTGAGAAATGCAAACCCAATACAAAAAGTTATACAGAAAAGACAAGTGAGGATGGTCGCAGTGAATTAGGACGAGGGAGATAATAAATAATAGTGAGAATAGAGATGACACACACGGAATTCTTTTTTTTTGGATTTGTGAGTGAAATCGTGTTTCCGATTTACCTTAGTTAAAGAGGCTAATGTTGCTGAATCAACAGAATCCTGCAAGACAAACAAATACAACACATGATATATATCAATTGGAATTTACGTATGCGGTTTTCCAACTTTTTTTTTCTATGAAGCTGCCAATACGGAGTTTTTTTTTCAAATTCAATTTAAAAACCAAGGGAAATCGACTGAATTTTCCTGTTTTAGGTGCTCACTAATGATTTTTTGAATTGAAAATGAGGATTTGCTCTTAATGTGAAATTTACCTGTCGATCGTTTAACTCATCAATTTCTTGTGCCAAGCTGTTTGACGTGCCGTTCAGTAGGTTTCGACCCTCTTCGACACCACGCGTTAAAACCATCGCTTGTAATTCTTCATTTTGTTCGATCAATTGCTTCTTTGACTGACGCAACTCTTCCAGTTCTTGATGCAACTCTTCAAGGCGTAGCGTTTCGGGAGACGTTGTTGGCATTGCTGGACCACTTTCCGATCGCAAACGCTCCACTTCTTTGCCCAATTCAATCATCAGGTCCTCGGCAGCCAGCTTCTCCGATAGATATCTAGGTTGAGATGTAATGATTTTTTGTTAGCCTTTAGCCAATGATAGGTGAATTTGAATGATACAATTGATTTTTTATCGTTTTTTTCCCGACATTTTTAAATGTTTAAATGTTCTTTCATTTTCTTCTTTTTTTTTGCCAAGATTGGAGTATCCATCTCTTTCGTTTCATTTTTCTTTAAGTCTTCTTTGTATTGAACAATTTTTTTGAAAATTAATCTCCTTTTTTTTCCACGAAAAAATACTCACTTTTTCACATTTTCCTTCGCTTCCGTGAGTTCTTCACGTGCCATTGTCAAATTATCGCAGGCATCCTCAAGTTTTTCCTCGGTAGCGCGCAGTTCAGCCGTTTGTTTATCATATTGTGTTCGAAGTCTTTGCAGTTCCTCTCTCAGGTTGTTTGTTTCTAATTCGATGGTGCGTATTTTAATTTGGCAATTTTCATTTTGCAAAATGGCTTCGCGTTCGACACGTGCTAACAATTCACGATGCCGCTTTTGTTCTTCGTTTATCCGCTCTTCGGCACGAAGTTCGACCTGTTTAAATGAGTAATGTGGGCAATTTAGTATAAACCAATTTGGAAACTCAAACAGAAACTCAAACAAAAAACTATTATAATAATTCCTAAATATCTATTCGCAACATTTTTTCTCATTCAATCTCTTACTTTTTTTTAAATCTTGACTGGAGCTAAAAAATTTGATGATTTTTCAAGGGAAATATAATTCTAAAATATATTTCGAGAAATATTGTGAAGATATTTACTTCGTATTTGGATTCAAGATTAGCTTCAAGTTGAAACTATGATAAGTCGTAATAAGTTGTCCAAAATATCAAATACTCAGGCGTAACATTTTGATTTGTGTTACTCCAAAGTAAAATATTTGTTTTGTGATTGAATTTGGTTTTATGTGAGTTGCATCGAGCCTTATCAGCGGCACTGAGCACTAGTTCTTATTAATGAAATATCTTGAGGAATATCTAAACAAAATTTCGATGTAAAATTACTTTCAATTTTGGTTGTTTATCAGAAAAATTGTCCAACTTCAAATTGAAACCTCTGAAGTAATTCTTTCTAATTTTTCAAAAGTTCTTCTTCTTCTTCAAGGCTAAGACTAAGAAGTCTAGCAAACTTATTTCAATAATTCATTTCAATAGAAAATTCCATCAAAAAAATGTTTCTCTTCCGATAGTTCATTTTTTCATTCCCATAGAAGCACCAACTCCGCAGACATTTAGAAGTCCATTTCAAATGATCTTTCCCTTCATGGATCTAGATCGTCCTATCAATTTTCTTATTCAAACGATAAAAGTCAAAACTAACCTCTCTGAGTTGATCTTCGAGCATGTGATATCGTGCCTGAAGCACGGCATGCTCGGTTTTTGTTCGTGATGTACGATCCTCTGCAGTGCTCTGTGAGTCGGCTAGTGTGCTCACTTGACGTTGCAATATTTCCAACTGAAAGCGAAAAGAAGAAGAACCAAATGAGAAAAGTGTCGTGAGAAAAAGAAAAACAATAATAAAATGGCATAAAAACGGTGTCTTATCTAAATATGAATATATTAGATTATGATTGTGAATGGATGTGATGTTTGTTACCAAATAGGTCAGTCGAACTTTTAAAACGTCAAGTTCGGCAAGGAACTCGTCAACAAAATCATCGTCGACAATGGCCATATCGCCCGTGTGCAAACATTATTTACTGTGGTATTCCGGCAAAACGGCACAACGGCACAATGGCCATACAAACACACACAAAAATGACACTCCCGACAGAACATACAAGGAAACGTGTACTATCGAGTTACAAACAAGGCAACGATTAAACCATTGTGTGTTGTCATAATTTGTGCAAGCGACTGAATTTTCCGACAGTGACACAGGCACAAGTGGAGAAAAAAATGTCAACTGGTCGAGAGAGAGAGAGAGAGAGAGAGAGAGAGAGAGAGAGAGAGAGAGAGAGAGAG